GCACATGACGTTTCAAGGCTCGGCATTGATAGCTGGGCTAAGTACTGGTGGTTTAAAGTTGAAAGCATTCCTCCTTGACAAGGCATTCCTTTTCTTTTTTTTTTCTTTTTTAAAATTTTTAGATTTTTTTCCAACTACACTATATTATTCTCTCTCAAATCTTTCGTCATCTTTCAAATTCTTTCAAATCACCTTCACTACCTACCAAGCACTACTCCTAAGGACACTAGGCTCCTTCTATACTGGAGAGCTGCAATCCGTTTTTTTTTCCAGGGGCACCTTCCACCTGTTCTATCCCTGAAACGGTTTTCACCTTTTTTCAAGTCACAGATGCAGATCCCAGGGCTCGATCCCCAGACCTCACCTTACCTTACCTTACCTTACCTTACCTGTGTGCAGTATCAAGTCGACCCGTGACCTGTATGTTAGTAGTTGAAAGTTGCTTGTCGTAGGTTTGAGTAGTTGTCGGGTCTTGAACCTTAGACCTGTCGAAGTAGGGGTCATACCTGCATAGGGGTCATAGTTGTTGTCGTCCTGGAACGTCAAGGTCGTAGCTGCTACAGACCTGAAAGGTCAGGGCCGTAGCTGCTACAGTCTTGAAAGGCCAAGTCCGCAAACTTCCGGAAGGTCCGGAAGTGGCCTTTCAAGTTTCTTCTCACGTTATACACAGCAGAATACAGAGGCAAGTGGGCAAGTGGTGAGTCCAACTTCGCTTAGTCAGCAAGTACCATGAGGGACTGTGTGCATCATGGGCCCGGTGCAAAAAGGGCAGACCAGCGACTTACAGAAGTATAAATCAAGAGGCAGCGTCCAGCCATTCATTCATTCTTGCGTGAGCCATGCGGAAGCGCTGCCCAGGCGTCTTGTGCGAGGCGGTCTGCAGAAGCCCGAGGTTGAAGTGGGCTGAAGAGAGAGAGAGTTCGTCCATAGCTGGTAACAGTGGAGCGGCCATAGCCGCTGTAGCTTAGGTAGAGTTCAGTGTGTGTGTGTGTGTGTTCTTTGTACAGAGTTGTGAGCGTGGGTTATCCAGGGTGATCCAGAGACAAGTGTGTGTGAACAGTGTGTGGACAGAGGATGTGTGAGCGCTCAGGCGCCATAGCCAGTTGGAAGCGAGTTGTTGGTTTTTTTATTTTTTTTATTATTATTATTATTTTTTTATTATTATTATTTTTTTTAAGAGCCAGTTGGAAGCGAGTTGAAACTAAACTGTGTTTTCGACTTGAGAGTATCTCTGAGCTTTGTGTGGGCGCACAGCGCCAGCGTGGATTGCCACCTGTTTGCACGTATGTGAAGTGAAGAAGAAGCAAGTCTGATTGAATCCCAGTCAGCATTTTTGAAATTTGAATCACAATTCTTGACCCAGCAGCTTTAGATTTGTTCCCGCACAGTCTGTTTCATGACCCTGGGCCCAAAACTCTCTCTCACGGAGAGCAGCTAAGTTTTGGTTAGTAGCCGTGCGCTGTATCTAAACTTCTTCTAAAGCTTCGAGTGATAACTTTTCAAAGCCTTCACTCCATGATTATGCTCTGAGCCTTTTTTTTTTTTTTTTCAGCATCAAATTTGTTCCCCCCACCCCCCCCACCCCCCCCAGATAGCCTCTGGACTCTGGAGTGCATTTTAACAGGGCACAATTCGTCTTCCTGTGGGCATACATACAATATCTGATGAACCAGTTAAAAATTAAAATTGTTCTCCCCGTTAAAATGCACTCCAGTAAAATGCATTCAGGAGCATACAGGAACCACGTTTCCTGTAGGCATACAATATCTGGTGATCCAGCAGTTATCTTTGTTCCCATAACACATTTGGAGCATACTCACACTAGGAATTTTCAAGTACTCTGTGGACGTAATTGCGGTCAGGTGCATGCAGGCTGGGTCAGAAAAGTGGTCGAATACATCGATGAACGTCCTAGTGTGAGTATGTTCCCTTAGTTGGGAGGGGGCGTAGCTGCTGACAAGGTAATCGGGGTTCTTCTACCCTTGCCTTCTCGACCCGAATAGAACGGAAAGTCATTGTAGCTGTATCTAGACTGAAAGTTTTGCCATACACAGCTGTAATGACCATGCATTCCATGTGGGGGAAGAGGGTGCCGTCTTCACCCGAACAGAGCGCCGGTTCATTATCGCCGCATCAGGACGCGAACAGAGCGCCGGTCATTATCGCCGCATCGGGACGGAAAGTTGCTCCAAATGAAGCTTATAATGGCCGGGCATTCGGTTTCGGCCGAAGACGGTAGTTCACAGCTTCTGCGGGAAAAAAAGACATCATCGCAGGCAAAAAGATGCTGTGTCCTGCGAAGAAGGCTGCTTCTGTAGCCGCTCTAGCGGTTGCCGCCTCTCCTCCCGGCAGTCCGTACGGGATTGGCTGAAGCACTGGCAATGGGACACAGGTGACATGGCGCCTAGAGGACGTCCTTCGCCATGTCCCCAGGTAAAATTATTGGCATGGCCCCTGCGGAGGAATGACACACGCATTTTTAATCGAGAAATGGTCCAAATTCAAATTCCTGGGGGATAGTGAACGAGAAAGGGTTGCAGATCAGGTATCCGCAACTCGCCGTTGTGATTCCGCCATTCTTGCCCCCAAGTAACTGCTGGATCCCCAGCCGGAGGGCATCAGTCGGCCTGTTGTTGTCTGTTATTTCCTAAAACGGAATCTCCTTCTGACGGGTATGGGTGTGTCTGTTGTTACCATCTGCTCCCAAAATGAATTTAATATTTATAATACGGTTAATAACTTATTATAGCTGTATTCGGTGCAACTTTCTCTCTCGATGTAGTGAGAATTTAGAAGGACCATATGTTCGATTCGGGGGGAAGACTGTACTACAGGCCAGGCACTGTGCAGTGCAACCTCTCCTCTCCAATCATTGTGGACAGAGTTCCATGGGTAGGGAAGAATAACGGTCAATAACCCTTTTTTCTGTTGGGACCCTTGGCCTCGAATCTCGCCGCCATTTCGATTTCCTTGTGATCTCCTCTGTGATCTTTGTATTATAAAAAAAGAAAGAGATATCAGAAACTTACCAACTTAATTTCATCTTCTGCTGCTGCATCCCTGTTCAGATCCTCGACGATATTTAATATTTAAATTATTTTTTATTATTTTTTGAATATTATTTTCTTCAAAGGCCGACAGCTTTGAGATATCATCGTCAAACTGACCGGCATCAGGAAATTCGTGAATTTCGTTCATCTAGTTCCACCTGGATTCGAACTTGGGTCTCTATTTCAACAGTTCATGGGTGTATCAATTGAGTTCTTCTTTTTTTTTTTTTTTTTTTTTTTTTGGAACGAAACGCCAATCTATTTGTGGGGAGCAGCATGTGCTGGGAACCGGGCCCAGTGTCCCATATGAAGGGGGCCCGTTGTGTTGTTGAACCACCAGTACGTTTTGCACCCTTTTTTTCGAAGTTGTGGCTTGCATGCTGCCGCGACTTTCGGGGCTCGGCCTCCGGAGCAGAGTGGCTGGTGGCGCAAGCGAAAAGTAGGCCCTCGCCGGTTCGTGTTTTTTTTTTGGCGAGTAGGGTGTTTCCAGCCCTGGAGAAAAGTGCCTCGACCTGTCTGTCCAGATCCTCTTAGAATTGAGTTTGAATCCCCCTGCTGCCCATGTGTTTGCACCCTGAGTGGGCATTGCATTTTATTCGGTCCCGCCCCCCCGACCCCGACCCCATCCCCGGTTTTTGGTAAGAAAGAAAGGGAAAAGAAAAAAGAAAAGGAAGGGCAACGCCCGGGATATATCATTGTTGAACTGGCCGGTCCCAGGTAATGCACAATATTTGATTTCATTCGTCCAGTTCCATCTGGGTTCGAACTCAGATCTGTATTTTTGAACAGTTCATGGGCGTACCAACTTGAGCTATGCCAGCATGTGCACCCCCCTCGCACCACCCCTCGTTTGCTATTTGTCGTCTTCTTATACTCGTTCGTTTCCCTCTCCCTGAGCTATGCCAGCATGAGCACCCCCTCCCCCCACCCCAAGTGACTTGGGCCGCAGAAAAGATTGTTATAAACAACAGTCTGGCCGGGGCTGCAGAGGTTCCAGCTGGGCCTTTTCTTAGTGGCCTTCACAGGCAGGCTACCACTGGGCCAAGCCCGAAGCGGTATGATTGTGATGCGTAACGACGGTAAGGTCCCGAGTTACCCTTGGGCGAAATGGTGGTTTATTGCACTCGTCTGTTCGACGAATTCCGTTTTTTTTTTAAGGTCTGGGGTTTAGCACGAATCGGGGGAAACTTCCGCACGGAGTGTTCTCCGAACCGTGCGAGATTGTCGCCCATCACACGCCTCTCCAGCGGAATTGGGAAAAATCAGTGAGTGGAAAAGGCACTCCCAGCCAACCGTCACGTTGGGGTTCTACTCGTCTGCTGTGTGGATTCATGTTTCTTCTGACGTGGTTTATGGGCCTCGATCCGCTACTCATTATATGCGGAAAATACAAAAAAAGATTGCGGTGTGTCTTTCGATGTTCTAGCGGATGCTAAGCGGAAGATTCAATCTCATTTTGCACATTTTGGTGAGTTGTGTGGAGCGAGGCCCTAGTGCAGAAAAGACCCAAAAGATTCCGTTTCTTTCGAGATCTTGCACTGTAGCACCAAACCTTTTCTGCGAAAACAAATCTGACAGCGCCTGCACTTGGGGCAAGATTTCGTAATGATTTTTGGACTGTAGCGCCGTTTCTACCGTACTGTTTGCCTCGCTCCACTAGGCAGCATTCAAAATGTATCTGGAATCGGTAATGGTCCCCATACACTCAAAATGTTGAGTCCGTTGTGATGTATGTGGGTCATTCAACAGTCCAGATACATGTCAAATGGTGAGTAGCGGAGCGAGGCCTGGTCATTATTGTTTGCCTGGGTAACCTGTTTGAAGTGGCACAATTGTCAAAGGGTTGGCCACCGTGATCTCGAATTTAACGTCTCGTTCCCTCTCTAGCTTGCTACCGTCCTCACCCGAATAGAACGCCCGGTCATTATCGCTGCATCTGGACTGAAAATTGCGCCAAGTACAGCTGTAATGACTGGGCGTTGTATTGGGGTGCATCTGGTAGGCGATACTGAAGCAGCCTTTGGGGTTCGATTGCTTTCTATCTTTCGTTCCTCTCCTCTATCTCCTTTCAGTTTCCATTGCCACCCTCCTCGTGGCCTCCGTCTTCCCCGCGTCCGCTGCGTGGTCTGAGGGCATACTCACACCAGGACTTTTTCTACAAAGCTGTGGACGTGATTGCAGTGAGGTGCATCCAGGTCTGGTCGTAATTGCAGTCAGATACATTTAAACTACCGATACTTCCAAAAACTGCCGCCGCATGCATGGGCACCCTGATGTGCTGGGATGAATGGGCCTGGGTAGCTGGGTTAAATTCATTCAAGTGGAAACATTGCGGCATACTGTAGCAATGCCTGGCACACCGCGACTTCCGCGGAAGTATGGCCTGGGGCGGAAGTATTGTTACCGTCTTCACCTGAATAGAACGCCCGGTGATTATGGCCGTATTTGGTGCAATTTTCAGCGCAGATACAGCTATAATGATTATGGCCTGGGGCGGAAGTATTGTTACTGTCTTCACCTGAATAGAACGCCCGGTGATTATGGCCGTATTTGGTGCAATTTGCAGCCCAGACACAGCTATAATGACCGGGCGTTCTGTTTGGGTGAACATGGTGGTGTGAGTATGGACTGAGTCTCCCCCCTGCCTGCCCATTCCGTCACGCCTACCTCATCCCAAATCCTGTGACCTAAATGCGCTTCTGTATGACCAGCTACCTGAAGTGCATGATCCTGCTTGTCATCCATCTGAGGGCATATTCACACTAGGACCTTTTTGAATCGTCTCTGGACGTAATTGCAGTCAGATGCATCCAGGGTGGAGACACAATTGCAGTCAGATTCATCCAGAAAAGCCCTTGTGCGAGTATGCTCTTGACTTTTTTTTTTTCTTTTTCAGTTCATCCATCTGTCTTGTTCGTTCAATTCCTATGGTGTCGAACTGGCTTCGTCTTCAGTCTGTTTTTTTTGTTTTTGTTTTTTTCCGGCTTCATTCTTGATTTATAATAAGTTCTAATAACAATTATAACATCCTTTTTTTCTTCTTTTTTTTCCCCTTTTACCATGTGAGTTCTTCTTTGAGCAGTTCTTTCCAGCTTTCCGGAACACCGAGCTTCTCCCCACCACTCACCAAGTGCATAAAAGACGAAAATTCAAGACATGTATCTTTCCATTGTTTTAGAGGAAGATTCATTCTGATTTTGCATATTTGGCAAGTGGTGCGGCGACGCCCACTTCCTGCTGCCAGCTGTAGGCTTCTGACCAAATTTTGGCTGGATCCGGTTATTGTGAGTTCTTAGTTGAGGCTCCTCCTCGGTCCGCTCTCTTTCTTCAACATCCATCTTTCATGTATGCCCTTTTCAATCACAGATAGCCAACAGCTATACGCCCTCCTCGAGCTGCAGTTGCGACCTTCCATCTTTCATATATGTCCTTTTCGATCCCAGATAGCCAACGGCTCTCTCTTTGTCAATAGTCCATGGGGGAAAACAAAGAAAAACGAAAAAAAGAAAAGAGGGGAAAAAAAAAAAGAAAGTTAGAAAACAGAAAAGAGGACGGGGGGGGGAAAGAAAAAGGAAAAGAGAAGTCCATGGGTGGTTACCATCATCCTTCACACAAAAAAAAAGGACGACGATGCCATCTTCCTTTTCCAGATTTTTGTTTTTCCATTTTTTTTTAACTTTTCTTTTTTACGCAAGTTGTAAATTTGTGAGAATCGTATTGTGTTTGTCACCCAGACTGTCTGGTCCAGACGTCTGGATCTGGATCTGGATCTGGATCCGGACAACTCAGTGCCTGTCACACATCAGGTGGTTACCATCTATCCGAAGCCTCTTTTTTTTTTTCCAGAATTTTCAATTTCCCTTTCTATTGCCAGTTCCAGCTGTCGTCGCCTGCCTTGTTAGGGCATACTCGCGTGAGGACTTTTTTTCTACTAAGCTCTGGCCACGATTGCAGTCAGATTCATCATCTAGGTCTGGCCGTAATTGCAGTTTGATACATTTAGGAAAGTGTGCACTTATTGGGTGTTTTGCTCGGTGCTTCTGATGTGTGAAGGAAGATGGGAAGTATCCTCCTTCAAAACCATCAGTACACCATGTATCGGCCCGGGGGTGTCAGGATGAAACCCGCACCACTTTGGAGGTAGCTGCTTTTTTTTTCAACGGCGGGCCTGGCCGCGCGGCGCCTCCGAGTTTTGCTTGTGGCCACAAAAACTCTTGCAAGGCTGTGGCCGTGTACTTGCGGTTTAAACTTTCTGCAAGTTTAAACCACCACTAACTCCGATCCTGTTTTTGCCGAACCTGAATTTCAGTGCGCACCGAGTTTTGCCGAGCCTGGGCAGTTGTCAGTGTCAAAGGAAGAGGACAGATCGACAGACCCGACCGAACACACAGCTGTGTGAGGACAGATCGACAGACCCGACCGAACACACAGCCGTGCAATTCCACGGCGAGCACTGTGTGACCAACAATCTCGAAAAGAAGATACTCTCCGCTAGATCAAACGCGACCGCTCCAAGAGAGAGATGGCCATAGCCGAGCTTCGGATTCTACGCCTCCACTCCTATCCCTTATGCTGTGATTGTGGTCCGATACAGGACGCTACAGTACTAGTTTGAGTATGAGGTAAGTGAGGCAACTACTTGCCCCGCGTGGAATGCGCCCTGCCTCGCTGGCAAGGCACCAAAAGGAAACGAAAAGCGGAAAAAAGAAAAACATAAACAGCAGCAATCATGTTCCAGACATAGTGGCCAGATACATTACTCAAAGCACTGGTGTGACTTCCACTTCCGTGAGGGCCTTCCTCCACGTCGCTGGATTCCAAGTTCTTAGTTTTTTTTCCTTTTTTCTTTCCTTTTTTCCTTCTTTTTTCCATTTTCTTTTTTTGGCCTCCAACCCTCCCCCAAGCCGCCGACTTTTTTGGAATGGGCTTCTTCTGCGACTTAGAGTCTCAATGTACGAGGTAGTGGTGGTTCAAGAAAAAAAAAAAAAAAAAAGGTCAAAAAAAAAAAAAAAAAAAAAAAAAAGAGTACCCTCCACGGTGTCTTCAGCTAGTGTGGTTTCAGCCAGCATACAGAGTTGTCCTTTTCTTTTTGTTTTCCTTTTTCTCCGGTGAAGAACCTCTGTCAAGGAATTGTCCTGGGGCGAGGTCTCACTAGCGAAGAGGATTATTGGATTAATAATCTCCGGAATCTGGATGTGTTTTCGGCAGAGATGCAGAAAAACAGATCAATCTCGATTTTCCGCACCCTTCCACAAACACGTCCACATTCGGGCATTCAATCCAACCCTCTTTTCATGTGCTTGTTAACCTTTTGTTTGTCTGTTTGTTTGTTGGCCCCCAGGCAGGCACTGTTCTTTCCTATGAACCCGAGTCGGATGTCATCACATTGGCCCCTTGGCCATCCACAGATGACTTCTTACTTGCAGTTGGTCAGATAAGCATAATAGAGCAATCGGTGTCTGAAGATCAGTATGAAGGAGAACAGGAGCCGCTAGCACAAGAAGAGCAGGAGCTGAGATATTTCCCCCCTCCGTACTTGGACGATGGCTTGCTTGAGGTACGTTCGCTACAACATCCCCCTCCCTCCCCCCCCCCCCCCCCCCTCCCCCCCTTCCCAGCTGCCTCCCTGCCCTCATTTCCTTCCCTTCTTCCCCTCTACCTCTCCCTTCGTTCCGCCTGTCCTCCCCTGCCCCTCTCAATGCGCATCTGGTTTTTGTCGTTGATGAAGTTTAGCGCTAACTGCGCTCGTATTCATCTATGTGTCTAAACTTCCCTAAAGTGTCTGTCTATTCTCTCCTCTTCTGTCAATCGTCGATGTGCGTATGATTACATCTGAAGATCTGGAAAAATCAGTGAGTGGAAAAGGCACTCCCACACAACGGTCAGGTTGGAATTTGTTTTAGTAATCCCAAAGACTTGCCTATAAGATATTGGAAGCACTTACTCGTGCTCGAAAAGCATGAACCTGGCTGCAACACTGGCCAGGTTCGTGCTTTCGTAGCATGAACATAGGACCAGTGGGACTTCGGTCGCTTGACCCTTATCATCCTGTTAAGCACAAGGTAAAGAGGTTACTAGAGTGATTTTTGGAGTATTTACTATTTACTATTTACTATTTACTATTTACCCCCATGCCTCCACGGTAAGTTTCGTACTTCTCCTGCCACTCTCTGACTCGCTGTACTTTCCTGTGCTCGGCTCCGAATTTACCTGTGTGTCTCTTAGCGGTGCTCGGATTTATCTGTGTGTCTCTTTCCTGCGCTTGGATTCATTTACCTCCATGCCGCTGTGGTAGATTTCGTACTTTCCTGGAGGGATTTTTTTTTTTTTTCCAATTTTTTTTGTACTTTCCTGGCGTGTTTATTTCTAGTGAGCGCCTATTTTCTGGTGAAGGCCTCTCTGTAGCTCCAGGCTGTTTTTGCCATTGTTCTCTTAAACCACCAGTATCCGACGAACCACGTATATTGTCACTCCAGGCACATGCATCATGAGAATTCACACAAATTCCACACCGAAGTCCAGAGATGGAAAGACCAGATTAGCGCAGCTCACAACTTCAATGAATGATCATATTATACGAAGCCACTTCAAGCCAGAGTTTTTTTGAGTTACCAAGCGCAAGCGGTCGTCAGCGCAACACCCAGTAGTCTCAATCATGTATGTAACCCTCTCTCTCTCTCTCTCTCTCTCTCTCTCTCTCTCTCTCTCTCTCTCTCTCTCTCTCTCTCTCTCTCTCTCTCTCGTGAACGCTCTCTCTTGAACTCTCTGAGGCTCCGCTACTGTGAGGATCACAACCCTGGATGCATCCGCCTCCTACACATGCTCTACTACTACTGCTGAGCGATTATGGCCGCCTGTCTTCCTCAGCACAGTGCTGCCCAGCAGGGCTCCTTAGTGCAAAGTCACTCGCAATAGCGCACAAGCACCGGCAGCGCTTTCACGTTATTGCGAATTAGCAATCGGTTTGAATGAGGCTGGGCTGGTCTTCTTATTGACTTGGTCTCGACTTGGACTTCACTTGGAGTCTGCTTGACTCGGCCTGGGCCTGACTTGACTTTTGCCCGCGCCCTGTTTGCTTTCGAATATTGTGGCCCGGTATCTTCCAGACCTTCCTTGGAGCGCTGCTGCATTTTGACTGTGGGACTGAACTTGACGGCCCGGGTACCCGGTTCAATTTTGACCTTTGGGTACCTGGCCCTTTGGGTACCTGGCCCTTTGGGTGCCTGGCCCTTTGGGTACCTGGCCCTTTGGGTGAGCCTGAGGGTACCGAACTTGACACTCTTTTGTTTTCCGCCATCTGGGCCTTTCCCTGACTTGAGGACCAGATGCCCGAAAACCCTGAGACTCGAATTCGGGGTCGGCAAGGTGAAAAGCCTGTCAAGTACATCCGGAAAAGAGGATTGAGCCTCTCCTTGGTACGGGTACTCCACAGCAGCAGGCCTTCTTTCAGGCAGTTTACATGAGTTGGGCGTGGCCTTTGTCCCATATATCGGCTCTTTGACCAAAATGACGACCCACAGCCCTGACAATTATATACCTGCAAATCCTATGTCAACTCCCACGACTGATGCATGATTTGAGCTGAGTTATTGCACATCAGGGGACAGCTATATATATTTTTCTCTCACCTCTCACATATTTTAACTGGCGTTCTGCCATGTCATCATGGAACATATCTTTTTCCTTTCACTACCTGCCTACCACTACTCCCTAAGGCTGTACAGGGGACCCCTGCAAGCATAGCTTTCTATGTTTCTACCTCTATTCAGTGAAGGGAGGTTACCTCTCTCGGTGGAGGGCAGAAACGGAATATAATTTCATGATAATCGTATAATAAATCTCAATAATATATTACCAAATCCCTTCTTTTCCCTGAATAGTTTCACCAGGATTTGAACCCGCCACTTAACCCATAGTGGTTATGCTAACTGTGTGGCTCCAGGTATCCTTCTGCTTAGCAGCGAACCATTCAGAATCTTTGGAGTCGTTTAGGGCATGCTCACACTAGGACTTTTAAGAATGCATTGGAGCGCAATTGTGGCCAGACCTACACGAACCTAACCGCACACTACGTCCACAGCGTTGAGGAAAAAGTTCCAGTGTGAGTATGGCCCTAGACACGCCCTTCGGGACATCCGTTACAAATGGAACCATACAGAGAAAGAAGATTAGCATCGCCCCTGCGCAAGGGTGACACGCATACATTGAGAAATGTCTGAAATGGTCCAAAAAAAAGAATGGTCCAAAAAAAAAAAAAAAAAAAAAAAAAAAAGGAGTCTTTTATATGCTGCCAAGCTAGGCTACCAGAGTGGCCGGGGTCCACTTGCCCGGCCGGGCCAAAAAGGAATAAAAAAGTAAAAAAATAATTTATTTTTTTTAATTAAATTTTTTATTTTAAATTTGGTACAGAATTTCGATGTGACCCTGAGGCAAAAGTTGTTCAATTTATTTTTCTGCATAACGTAGTTTTTTCCCGGATTTTTTTTTTTTTTTTTTTTTCTTGACCGGGACCGTCCCTGGTCCTTGCACGGCCGGGCCGCCCGGGAAAATAGGGTGACCCGGGCGGCCCGGCTGGTAGCCTAGCTGCCACGCTAATATTAAGAATTGAATTACTGCATTGAGGAATACGGAAAGAAATTCGAAGAATAGAAAAGTCAATGGACTTTCAGAAAAGAAAAATGGACCTAAGGCAACCATGTTTGCTTGTGTCAAACCTGGACACCGGACGGATCCGCACGTCTGGCCGTTGACTTGGTCCAGATTGCTCAGGACCGCCCAGATTCTCTGACAACGTCCAGACCTCCGGACAGATCAGACCCAGAGAGACCCAATGGATTGGGGCCCATGGTGCCGAGATTTGACCGGATCATCAAGGAGGGAACAAAAGCGGAAAAAAAAACGCGTACTCCTTGTTCAAACTATTGCTGCAAAAGTGCAACCCGGCATGCTGTTCCAACTCCAAAACCGATAACACGTCGGCAGAAGCAACCTGCGGCACTCGAGACACAGCTCAGAAGATCAGGGGAGGGGGGTTGATTCCACTACCGTCTTCCCTGGACTAGAATGTGCTCGTCCGGTCATTGTAGTTGCATTTAGGGGGCAACTTGCACTCTAGCGTGTTATGGTTGTATTGACTAAGAGACTTGGCACTTTTCGCTGAGGGTCCGCGTTCGATTCCATGTGTGCGCGGATGGCCAGAACGTACGGATTCATAACTGCTATGTCTAGCGTGTTATGGCTGTATTGACTAAGCGACTTGGCGCTTTTGGCTGAGGCTGCGGGTTCGACTGCGCGGATGGACCTAAGCCCGGAAAGTACGGATTCATAACTGCTTTGGAAACTTCCAAGGAAACGACGACTGCTCTCTTTTTTTCTTTTTTGAAGTTTTTTGCAACTTTTCCCTTATTTTTTTTCATGCTTTCCATGACTCGGTCGTTTGAGGTCCATTACCGTCTGGATGTTGACATGGGCTCCCCAAACCTATGCAAGCATAATTAGGCGGCTGCCAGGGACACGAATGACCGTTGCGGTCTCCCCCTCCCCTCCCCCCCACACACCTTCCTTTTTAATATTTCCTCAGGGACAGCCCTATCCACCCACCCACCCATCCGGAAATCCAGACCCGGACATCGGGAACTGGACCGTCTGGGTGGCGGCGATTCAACATCCGAACCGCAGCCAGGGACCCAAATTACATAACTAATGAGGTGAAACAAAAAAGAAACAGTTGGATTAAAACTCGAAATCTTGTGTCGTATGATTTTTGAAAAAGAACATTTGAAAAAGATTGTCTGGGTTGGTATATATACAAATTTCCTTTTTTGATATTTTATATTTGCTAATCCATTTCGGTAAAGTAGTTATCAAAGATTTGAAAAACAATTGATTGTGCACAAGCTGCGCTCCTTTTTTTATTTTGGGTCGATCTTTTTTTCTTTTCCAGTACCTCCGATCCTGTTTTTTTGCTGACCCTGGATTTCACTGCCCACCGAGTTTTGCCAAGCCTGGGTCCTGTTGTGTTTTCTTTTCTGGTACACTCACGCCAGTGGCATCCAAAAAGAACAAGGAAAAAAAAAGAAGAAGAATAAGAAGGCAAAAGAAACTTCCCTAACGCTGTGATAATCATCCGATACATTCTATGAGGTGCTAGTGTGACTGTTCCCTCAGTGAGGCCATCTGTCCGATGAACAAGGGATAAAGAAGGGAAAAAAAAAAAAAAAAGAAACATCCCTTATGCTGTGATTGTGGTCCGATACAGTACTAGTTTGTGTATGAGGTGAGTGAGGCAGTTACTTGCCCCGCGTGGAATACGCCCTGCCTCGCTGGCAAGGCACTAAAAGGAAAAAAAAAAAAAAAAAAAAAAAAAAAAAAAAAAAAAAAAAAAAAAAAAAAAAACCACCAATCATCTTCCCGACATAGTGGCCAGATACAATCCTCTAAAGCGCTGGTATGACTTCCACCTCCATGAGGGCCTTCCCCAACGTCGCTGGATTCAAAGCTCTCTGTGTTTTTTTTTTTTTCCCTGCTGCTTCTTTTTATCGTTCTCTTTTTCTGTCTCCGACCCTGCCCCGAGCTCCCGACTCCTTCGGAATATGTTACTTTTGTGCGGCTTAGCCTCCCAGTGTACTTTTGCGCGTTAGCGTCCCAGTGTACTTTTGCACGGCTTAGCGTCCCAGTGTACTTTTGCGCGGCATCCATTTTTGTTTTCCTACGCAATATCCAGCAATGACAGAAAATTTGGGGACAGACTTCCGGTAAAATAAGCCCAAACCAATTGTCAGACCTTCAGCGGTCGTGGCCAATTACGAACCTTGATTGCTTCCGGCTCAAGGCCTGCAGCGGACCACTGGTGCCCAAGATAAATGACGCACTCAAAAAAGAAAAAGAAGGCCCTTTGCCAGTTGGCCCACTCCAAATTGGCGGAGGGTGCTCCTCACCGACAGAGAGCATCAAGATGGGGGCAAGTCGGATGGAACTCTTCCAACCGAACGTTTGACCTCCTTGCCGGTCATTAGCCACCGTGTTTTACTGCGATGAGTGTTGCTAATACTTGCTATCTTTCATCCTCCCCCTCTTCCTTCCCTCCTCCCCTCTCGCTTCTCCTTGCCCCCCCGCCCTTCGCCGCCCCCCCTTCACTGCAAAGAATGTGGCTTGTAGTCTAGGCCGATGCTTTTTGCTGATCAACCTGCGAGTGCATCGTGCGTCAACTGTGATTTGACATCTTTTTTGTTTCCCCTTTTTTATTTTTCTCTGTGTGTGTTACAAATGTGACGTGATCTGAATCTACGCCAGACTCATCTTTCTTCACTCATGGACCTCCGCGTCATTTCCTCAGCGCCACAGGATACGTCTGTTCCGCATGATGTTTTTATGGCACACGATGTGGTGGTCCCACAACATGAGAGCGTGACCGAGCAGCCAGGGAATGGAATTGCAGCAGCAGCTCCTCTTGAGGGTGATTCTCTTGAGAGCGTGGTCCCCCACCATGAGAGTGTTCAAGGTGAGGCAAACGGGATCGTGGTCCCACAGCAGCTCCAAGTGAAGCGTGAATGCGGAGAGGGAAGCGTGCGAGCAGGAGTTAGTGGTGGTGAGAACTCTCTGTTTAATGGTAGACCATCAGGTGCCGAGGCGGATTTCACAAGCTCCGACCGTCTCACAGATGTTCATGGGTATCCCAACCCATCAACGTTGACGCGAGCCCGCGACTCCAACGGACAGAACGGGGAGTCTATTAGCTCTAAGATGGAACCGAAGAAGGAGACGGAATTGCAGTCGGTTGAGCGTGACTTCAACGGAGGAGCCGAAACCGAAAGCTCATTGTCGTCCAAGGAAGATAGAACGCAGGTTGGCTCTGCCACAGGAGCCACGAAACCTTTTCCTGGACTGCAGTCTGTACCTGGAACACAATTTTTTGTTCCTCCTCCAAATGCCGTTCCAGCATCACCAGGCTTGGTGCCTGCGGCGGACCTGCAGAGACTTGACAGGGAAGTGAAGGACCATGTCCTCTCTCGTCCGGCATGCAAAGGTGTGAAATCCGCTATTCAAGATGCGAAACCGTTCGGAGAAGGAACCGTTGACGGTCTGCCCGGGTCTGTTGCAGGACCAGCGAATGGCGTTCCTGGACCATTATCCGGTCGAGGTTCAGCGCATGCATTCTCAGATTCTTCGCGGTCAAAAGGATTGACACCTGTATCTGAGCCACAGGGGGCGGTCTTGAATGAGCGGCAGGCTGTACGTGAACCGGAATCTGTTCCTGGATCACAATCTGCACCTGGACTACAAGCTGGTCCCGAATCGCAGTCTGTTCCGGCAGATGCGTCGGGTGCAAACTCGGCGGCATGCACGCCAGATCCGAACTCCCAGGTGGTTCTGAGTACGGTAAAAGTCGAGCCGGCAGCCGGAGCGTCGCAAGCTGAAGCACAGGGCTGGAAACCGTTCGGGCAGTGGAAGAGTGTCGCGAGCGAGCTTAAGCGGCGAAGAGAAGAGATCAGGAAGGCATCGGAGAATCCGGCCATCCAGGGGAGCGAAGACGCCACGACGACTGTGAGGCCGCGAAGGACTCCAAGGGCGTGTGGAGTAGGAGGGCTGCTGTCAAAATTGCGCAGCGAGCAGGGGCTTTGACCAAAAAGGGAGAAAGGAGTTGTGCTGCACGGAGGAACTAACATGTTGACCATGGTGAGATGAGCGATGGCTATGCGCTATGCGTCTATCTGATAGCTATTTTTTCAGGATTGCTGTTTCTACCTTTCGTCGCAGCCATAGCTATTCACGGCGATTGCTGAACAACGAGGTAAGGTCACTAAGGTGTACTTTTGAACTTTGAAGACAGCAGCGGTATTCAGCCAAGCTTAGGCGTGAAAAATAGAGTGAGTTTTTGAAAAAAAAAAAAAAAGATAGAGCGAGAAACGAAGAAAATTCAAGAAATATAGCAAACAGCTCACTCAATTTAGCCATGCAGCTCAATGAAGTGTCTGATTGTCCTTGATGAAGTCAAGTTTGTGAAATAGCACTTGTGTACCTCTGGTGTTTTGTTTTGTTTTGTTTTGTTTTTTTTCCCAAAAAGGGAGACAACCATGAGCTATTTGTCTTTGAAATTTGAACTGATCGGCCCCAGGTAAAAATTAGAGTGTTATTTTTTTAACTCTATATGTTTACGTTGGAGTTCGAACTCAGGTCTGTTTTTCAACAGTTCATGGGTGTACCCACTGAGCTAGGCTAGGGTAGTTGGTCCGTCAGTTGTTTTGCGACAGAAAAAGCGGGGAAAAAAACAGATCCATCACTTTACACATGCAGCTAGATGAAGTGTCTGATTTTCATTGGCCAAGTCAGTATGCAAAATTGTGCTTTAGTGTACCGGTACTGTTTTGCGGGTGGATTCATTTGTATTATCTTGTGAATTGAGGAAGGTGGGGAGTGTGTTGTTGTGATGTGCCTGAATATTGTCGAAAGTTGGTTAAGCGAAAGTTATTGGACTTTGCGGACTTCGATAAACATTTTGAACGTTTGGCGGCTTTGGAGAAGCTCAAAAGATGCAGCTTCACTTCAGGATGGTTTGTGCTTTTTAAAGCTGTGTTGTACGGCATACGTGTACGCGGGTTGCGCGTACACGCGTACACGTATTCCTGTACGCGACACGTACGCGCGTACACGTACTCCCGTACGTGGGAATACGTAAAAAAAAAAAAA